ATATATTTGTGACTTGCTATACTTGTGAATAATTTTGTTCACTGAATGACATGTTCGCTGAATATTTCATGTATATTTTTTAAGAGACGTTCTATTATTATGTTAACGGGATTATCCATAGAATGTTAATTATAATGGTATGAACACACGTGTCGAGAAATGTTACGAGACGTCCCAGGCACATTCTCGGAATGTTCTTTCGACATCTCTTGAATGTAAGTGTTGCCTGGGTATTATGAAAGCTTTTTTATAATTCAATTTATAAATGCTAATGCAATGTTTAAAAAAATGTGTGTGTTGATATCGTATTTAATTTTCGGTGAATAATAAAAATAAAAAAAAACAAAAGTATTTATTCGTTCGGAGAACATATATAAGTTAACGCTGCTGAGTCAACGATGCTCGCAAGCGCTGCAATCGCCAAGTAAAACCTAACCTATCCTATCGTTGTATAGCATTGCCCGCCCGGTGTATCACGAAGACAACTTGTGGCATAATCTGCAACAGTTATTATATATGTATATTTGTTTGTTACAAAACTGTGCATTACTAAAATATTTTTATTACGGTAAGTATACTATATTTATGTAAAATTATTTTCCATATATTCTTTTTTTTTATGTAGAACATGCACAACCTATATACAAAAGTAAGGTTATATAAAAAGTTAGCTCAGCTATTTATCTACAATACTTATCTATAAGTATATATATATATATATATATATTTATGACATATTTTCGTCTAATTTCGTTTCTTTGTAAAAATGTTAGTCTATTTAGTAGCACTTAATTTCAAACAAAGATAGAATGACGATAGCAACACGTACATTCAATAGATGTCCAACGGACGTTCCGAGAATGTTTTGGACGTCTCGTGACATTTCTTGACACGTGTGTGTTTGTATAAATATTAATATTTTCACTGTGAAAACAAATAAGATAAAGGCATCTTAATCATAATTAGACAATGACGACATGTGATTTTGTAATTGTTAACAACGATGTTGTTATATTATTTGTTATATATATACGTGTCTCTGTGCCTATATATATTTTAAAAGGTCAAAATACAGTGCAATAACACGTTATGATGTAGCAATAAATACATTAAAAATTATAGAAATGTCATACAGGCGATTATAATTAATTATAATAGCTAATTGTATATGTCGAATTAATTGAGGATTAATTTTCCAGCAATTCTATTTAAAGAGTATATTTTACTTTGAATTTGATGTTGACAAATTGAATATCCTTAAATTAATTGAATTTATAATTAATTATTATGTCTTTAATACACAGTCGTAAAAATATTTATTATCTATTTAATACTTCATTTTATTAATATATTGCAATTGAATTTTTTTATTTTATATTTTAGGAATAATTTATATATATCTAATTTTTTTATTTTCAGAGAATAAAATTTTGCTTTAAAGAAAATCAACTAAAAAGAAAAATATGGATCAAAATAAAAATATTCCAAACACAAACCTCAGGTAAAAAATAATTATATATATTATATGAGATGTATGTGTTGTTGTGTGCCTCGGGAGAGACACCAGGGGGTCGCGCCAAATTGGGATGGGAATCCGGGGCGTCAGGACTTGTTCGGGTGTTTGAAGAAAATGCACTGCACTTTTCTTATTAAAAATCTTTATTCAAATTTAACCACTTGGCCTTTATTTATTTCACCAATACTACACTGAAGCTTTACCGGGTGTGCGGCACTGACTTTCTATCACTCCGCGTATCGCGCACAACTGCGAGTCGATGCTAAGTGCTCGCGCGGTTAGCGAGATCGTGTTTAGAGCGATTGTTTGTGTCTGCGACTGAGCGAGTTGGCGCGTCTCTACTCTCTTTTTATAATGTTGTTTTTTGGAGTTTTCCCGATTGGAAGGGGTGCCTGGCAACAGGTTTCCCCGGTCGAGAATCTAGGTGCAAGCGAAGCAGATTCAAAGTCCTTCTGCTTTGCTTGCACGTTGACCAATTTCTGTTCCGCGTATATCTCGCATTGTATGCGTTTTTAACGCGGTCATTATCTGTCGTAATTCTGATTCCGCGTATACCTCGCATCGTATGCGTTTTTTAACGCGGTCAGTGTCTGTCGTAATTGCGGATGTAATACGAGTACTCATTTCTTAATACTAGTTACCTTTTAATAGTTATATCTATTGTATATCTTTGGGGGATATAACAGTGTATATATATGTATGTGTCCCGCGTGTGTGTTTAGCTGTTAAAACAGAATTCACTTTTATATTTAAAACATTTTATTTTATACAAGGTTTGATACTTTCTTGGCTGACAACAATGTACAAAGTACAATGGACCAATTATCTGCTGCAAAGAGCAAGAGACAATTTTATCGCATTTTACGTGATGCAGCAGACAAAACAGTATGCCACATTGAAACAGAAAATCAAGTATCTAAAAAGCAAAAAATTGATATTTTTTTTACAGAAGATCAAAAAAATATAAATTTTAACATCTTATATAAACATTCTCAAGCATGCAATAACAATAATGTTAAGAAACGAATTACACAAAATGACATATCAGTTAACATAGATAGCTTTTCTGTATCAAGAAGTGATAATGAGCAGAATGAACAAATATGTAATGAAATTTTTAATAGTTCTGTTAATTATAGTAGCAATGAATTAATTGATAAGTTTAGTCTCATAAATTTTATATCTCGTGATGAAAATTTTCAGACTAGTAATAAGCTTATCAAAGAAAGAGTAACTGATTACAAATGCAATGAAAATATTAATGTTTACTTGCAAAATAATCTCAAAATGTGGGCAGTGGAAACAATATTAGCATAATTAGTTTTCAACAACTTTTAAAAATTCTTAATAAAGTCCATCCAAATTTACCTACAGATCCGAGAAGTATTTTTGGAAAATCAAATAATATATCTATTGAAACTATGAAGGATGGTCAATATTATAATTTTAACTTAAAGGATATGCTACAAAAACAATTAAAAATAAGATCTGCATCATCATCAATAATTTGGCTAAAATTTAATGTTGATGGACTTCCCTTATTTAAAAGTAGTCGTATACAGTTGTGGCCAATATTATGTCTTATTGAAGAATTTAATTTTACACCGATTGTATGTGCTGTATATTGCGGGAAAGAAAAACCAGATTTAAAATTGTTTGTGAAAGATTTTGTTCCAGAATTAAAAGATCTTATGGAAAATGGTATTATTATTAATGATACAAAGTATACAGTATTTGTTAGAAGTTTTATTTGTGATGCATCAGCTAGAGCTTTTTTGAAAGGTATTAAAGATCATGGCGGCTATTATGGATGTGAAAAGTGTGTTCAAAAAGGCCAATGGAAAAAGAGACGTGTTATATTTTTGGATCATTCATCTAATTTAAGAACTGATGAAAGTTTTGCTGAAAGAAAACAGAACAAACATCATAAAGAAATAAGTCCGTTAATAGATATTGGTATTAATATCCGGTGGATATTACATCGATACGTCTTAGCTTCAGACGTAGAAAAAATGTACCGCCAAATTTTGGTTCACCCTAGCGATCGCGATCTACAACGGATTATTTGGCAATATACTCAACAGGAGGATTTTAAGGAATACCGCTTAAATACCGTTACTTACGATTTAGCTTGCGCGCCGTACCTAGCGCTGCGCACCATCAAGCAGCTCGCCGACGACGAGGAAGCGCGTTATTCTCAAGGTGCAAAAACGCTACGTCACGACGTCTACATAAACAATATTCTCTCTGGCAAAGAGACTATTTCTGCGACGCAAGAGCTGCAACGGCAACTAACCGAGATCTGCACGGCGGGCGGATTCCCACTTTGAAAATGGGCTGCTAATCATCCGTCAATTCTGGCTGATGTTCCCTATGAACATCAGATGAAACGTGAATCTCAAGCTTGGCAAGCCCACGAAACACTCGCCACCCTTGGGTTACAATGGCATCCCAGCACAGATGAATTTTCCTTCTCCACCAAAGCTATCTTCGTGCCGACGATAACCAAGCGATCTGTGCTGTTGCTCACGGCCAAGTTATTTGATCCCCTCGGGTGGTTGGCTCCAGCCATTGTCAGTGCCAAGATCACTTTCCAATCTACTTGGCTTCAAGGCCTCGATTGGGATACGCCTCTGGACGAAGCTTCGACCCAACGATGGCTCGAATTCCAGGAACAGCTGCCTCTGTTGAAGAAGATCCGAGTCCCTCGCGCCGTCGCTCCAAGCGCTTCCTGGAATGGCGCGGAACTGCACGGTTTCGCCGACGCGTCGGAACGAGCTTACGCAGCCGTTGTTTATCTCCAAACTAAAACAAAAAATACGTTCAATATTGTTCTCATTGTAGCCAAAACCAAGGTCTCTCCCTTGAAGACTGTAACATTACCTCGCTTGGAACTTTGCGCGGCCACCTTACTCGCTCGACTTGCCAGACACATCCAGGACACGCTTGGCTTGCAACAGGTCCCGCTGCACTTGTGGTCTGACTCCAAAGTTGCCCTGGAGTGGATACGGGGACACCCCACAAGATGAAAGACCTACGTAGCCAATCGCGTGTCTGATATTCAGACAACGGTGCCTGAAGGGCTATGGCACTATGTACCGGGCACTGACAATCCGGCAGACTGTGCTTCACGTGGAATATTCCCATGTGAACTTATGGCCCATCCGCTCTGGTGGCAAGGACCACGCTGGCTGAGGATGGAGCCTTCCGCTTGGCCAATGACTCCTGAACCCCGGGAGGAGGAGGATCTTCCGGAGACAAGAGCAAGGGCCACGTTGGAACGGTTGAATAGCCGTGCAATGGCGAAGCCGAGGAGCTCCTGCGCTTCTCAACCCTTAATCGACTGCTGCGAGTGACAGCGTGGTGCCTCCGATGGCTTCGTTTCCGAAGACCGAGTGAGACTGATGTCGTCACGGTCCACTCTGCCGACGCACCTCTGTCAATAACTGAGCTGGATGACGCCCGCCTGCTTTGGATTCGACAAATGCAGTCTGAAAAATACAAATCAGAATTAAAATTGATTAGGCAAGGTCAAAGCCTACCAAAATCAAATTCACTTATCCGTCTAAATCCCTTTATAGATCCTCAAGGAATCTTCCGAGTTGGCGGCCGACTGGATCACGCAGCACTCTCACTCGATGAAAAACATACGGTGATCCTGCCTAGCTACTCACATCTAACTCGGCTGATTGTAAATGCGGATCATCGACGAAATCTGCATGGTGGAGTTCAACTGACTTTGGCCGTCCTTCGACAACGGTATTGGATTCCCCGAGGGCGATCTGTAGTAAAAGAGCAGATTCTTAGCTGCGTCACTTGCGTTCGATGGCGGGCGGCAACACCACAGCAGTTAATGGGTAGCCTCCCTCGAGAACGGGTAACTCCCTCGAGACATTTCCTACATTCCGGCGTCGATTACGCTGGGCCGATACAACTGCGAACAACAAAAGGTCGAGGACATCGTTCATACAAGGCCTTTATTGCGGTGTTCGTTTGTCTCTCCACGAGAGCAGTGCACCTAGAAGTAGTCTCCGACTACTCCTCAGAGGCCTTCCTAGCTGCGCTGCGCCGCTTTGTTTCTCGGCGAGGCATGTGCAGTACCCTGCGGAGCGATTGCGGTACTAATTTTGTAGGGGCTGACAAACAGCTTCGTGCTTTGTTCACAGCTAACAATCTCGAGCACCGTCGGATCCGCGAGCAATTAGCCAGCGACGGAATCCACTGGCGATTTAACCCGCCTTTAGCCCCTCACTTCGGTGGGATTTGGGAGGCGGCGGTCAAATCACTGAAGCACCACCTGAGGCGAGTACTGGGGAATCACACTCTGACCTTCGAGGAGATGAGTACGTTGCTGGCTCAAATCGAGGCGTGCCTCAATTCAAGGCCTCTTCAGGCTCTCTCGGACGACCCCGGCGACATCACCGCTCTCTCTCCCGGTCACTTCCTCGTGGGTTCAGCTTTAACGGCTATACCTGAACCGTCTCTAATCGACGAACCTGTTAACCGTCTAACGCGCTGGCAAACCCTACAGAGAATGAGAGACCATTTTTGGGATCGTTGGGCAAAAGAATATATCCACTCATTAGCCCATCTCCCGAAATGGTGGAAAAGGGAGACCGACTTCAATATCGGGCGACTGTGTCTCATTAGAAACGAGAATACACCGCCTACTAAGTGGCCTTTAGCCCGAATAATTCGCGCGTACCCTGGCGCTGATAAACAAATCCGCGTCGTTGACGTCCGTACGGCTTTGTCCGAGTTTAAGCGACCGATCACTAAATTAATCCTCCTACCTGTCTCTCATACCGAAAAGAGCAATGAAACGCCCGCATAAACTCTCGGACGAGACCGTACGGATTTTTCTTTTCTGTATATGTGTATATGTAAATAGCATCCCTGCAAAAGAAAAGGGGGCGTGAAAGTACTAGCTTTAAGAATACCTGCGTTGTCGCGGAAATTGTGATTGACTTGTTCGTCCGCCGCACGAGCTGATCAACAAAGAGAACCTCCACGTGGATAGCCGCTCAGATAACCAATCCTTACTTAAATCCAAATGAGCACTCACTTCACGGTTCCGTTTATTAAAAGATCCGGTTGATTCGTGCGGTCCACTTACAAATTAATCACAACGCAAATTAATTAAAACTATGTTTATTCTCGTGTTACTGCATTTAATTCACAGAATACTTCACTGTTGTCACTGCCGCGGCCGAATTCCGAATGAATTAGAATACTTTCGGATCAACAGCGCGACCGGCGTACGCTCACAGTAGCGAAGCACGCTGTCAGCACGTGATTACACGTAAACACGCATAGCCCAGCTCTCCATGGGCCTACCATGATTTCGCACACATCGTTCGATACATAGATCGCCGTCACCGCATTCTTTTGTACGCTGCACGATACGAGACGGGCGGGATGTTTAAAATCTAACTAAATTATATGCGAAGTAATTCAAATAATCGCGCCGCAGCGAAGGCGCACGGCGAGCCTCGCGCGCGCGAATTACAAAGCGCTGAGTCGAGCGCTCTCGCAAATCGCGTAGAGCGAAAAACCGCGATCGCACCTATCGAAACAAGACACGATACAAGAGTGCGAGTAATAATAAAAACAATGAAAATGCAAAATATCGCGCGAACGGTTGTCTCGACCTTTTAGCTGCGAAAACAAATCGAACCTTCTGGAACATCCCAAAGGAGCAATAAGAAAAAAAGCTCTCCCGAAAAAGAGCGCGCGCTGTCACTTGATTCGGAGCTCTCGCGAAGATAGTGTGGTCTCACAGTTTTTCAAATTCGATACGTCGCAAAGGCAAAGTCGCTCGCTTTACCTCAAGTTCCGTCGCTCGCGGTTCGCGATATTTATCAAAAGTTCGATTACTGGATTAGTCTCTAGCGCTAACTTCTGCTCGCTTGTTCTCGTCTTAATGTGGAGATATAAGTATAGATCGCGATACGACTTATATTCCGTTGTAAATAGACTTGTAAATACATTGATGGTTGGAAAATACACTGTGCCGTTAAACTAAAGTCAAAGATAGATTTATTGCAAAGAGAAGTTATTTTACGAAATTCCTGCGACACCCGCTTTTCCCGCGTCACCTTCGCGTCCGCTAAGTGCAAGAACATTTTTGGTCCTTCGAGTCAGATATTCTATTTCAACCCGGCATCTCTGCAGAGTGTGTAGTGAACGTGAAAATCATCGCTAGAGTGCGTCTTGAGAGTGATCTGTGAAAAAGTATGGAAACGTTAATTCTTTCGCAGCAAGAGCTCTTGTAACGCATTGCTCGCACATATGACAATTTAAAAAAAAACTGGTTCTGCTAAAATCAATAAAGGGCTTGTAGCTACCACGCTCAAGCTGCTAGATTCCAAATGGGAGAAAGTAGAGGAGCAGCACGAAATCATTCGTGCGAAGCATTGAAACGAGGCGAGGAAACATGAATACATAACACAGGATTTCCTGGGTCAAGTAGAGGACATCTATATTCAACAACGATTCGCCCTTCTCGAGCTAGAAGACTCCTTAGCGAAGAAGACTTCGGTAGCTGTCGCTGAAAACGACGATTCCCGGACATCATCCCCCACCACTCTGCCTCGGATCCAACTGCCTCACTTCTCGGGAAAGTATGAAGAGTGGCCCGCATTCTGCGATCTGTTCCAGGCAATCATCGGTAGAGATACTTCTGCAAAACAGGTAGAAAAGCTTCATTATTTACGTACTTGTTTGAAGGGCGAAGCTGAATTACTTATACGCGATTTTGCAAGTATCGAGGAAAATTACGATTGCGCCTGAAAAATTCTGACTGCGTATTATGAAAAAAAAAGGTTGCTCGTGCGCGCGTATCTTGCCAAATTCTTCAGCATCCGAAAAATAAAAGGCGAATCAGCTGTGGAACTTCGCCGAATTTTTCACGGTGTAAAAGCAACTGTTAGTTCGTTGAAAAGTATCGGTCGGCCAATCGTCAACACTGAAGATTTGCTAGTATATTTAACTGTCGAACTTCTCGATCCGGGTACGCGTCGCGAGTGGGAAAACTCCATTAGAGACACTACGGAACCGCCGACGTACGAGGCTCTTGAGCAATTCCTAGATCGACAACTACACACGTTAGAGTCGCTCCAGCCAATCAAGCTAGATGGAATCGCTAACAAACAAACTAACGAGGCTACGAAGTCCACTCGCAGCCACCACACTCGCAAGCTAAACAGCAAGCAAGACAACAAGTGAGGTCGATGTTCTCTTTGCCAAAGGGATCATTTTATAATGCTGTGCGACGAGTATAAAAGAAAGTCTGCCGCGGAACGGAAATCGCACGTCGACACAAATAATTTTTGTTCGAACTGCCTCGGTCGACACAAGGTATCCGAATGTGCTTCTAAAAAGAATTGTTCGGTCTGTGAGGCTCGGCACCACACATCGTTGCATGATGCATATCCCGCTAGTGCTACTGTCGTGAAAAATGCCCATATCGCGAACGGGCAGTCCGAATACCCGGCGACCGTACTCTTGGCGACCGCTCGCGTCCGCGTAACCGACCGATGGGGTGCTTTCGTAACCGCGCGCGCACTAATCGATCAAGGTTCGGAGGCTTCCTTGATCTCAGAAAATCTCGCTCAGCGTCTTAGATTGCCTCGATCTCCCGCGTCGGTTGCTGTGTTCGGAGTTGGCGGAAAAAAGACGGGATCCGCTAACTGTCGGGTGGCTTTCCGAATCTCACCACTGAGAGGAGATTCGGTTTTGACGGTATCCGCGCTGGTTTTACCGCGACTCACACTATACGTGAACTTTGGAGAGTTCTATGAACAAACCTCCGGAGCAGCAATGGGATCCCCCATTTTACCTATCGTTGCAAACATTTTTATGGAACATTTTGAAAATAAAGTTTTGAAAAACGCACCTCTCAAACCCTCTACATGGTTTTGATATGTTGATGACACCTTTGTCATCTGGAGTCATGGCAGAGAAATGCTCCTTCAATTTCTAGACTTTCTAAATTCTCAGCACCGCAGTATTCAGTTCACAATGGAAATAGAACAGAATAATTAGCTTCCCTTTTTAGACGTGTTAGTTAAAAAGAACGAAGACGGCACCTTAGGTCATCGGGTTTATCAAAAACCAACACATACGGATCGTTACCTCCATGCCACCTCTCATTATCATCCGGCTCAGAAGAATTCTGTCATTAGTTCATTAATATACAGAGTCTTAACAATTTCTGAACCAACTTCCCTGAATAAAGAATTAGAACATCTCAACCAAGTCTTAACCAAGAATGGGTACAACACCAAAGACATCCATCGAACAACTGAAAGGCTGAAAAATAAAATCTCCAGTTCTACAAATATGAGTGCAACAAGTGAAAAAGAAGAAGAAGATAAACAAGATAAAAAATGGACGATCCTTCCGTATCTTCAGGGTACAACAGAACGCATTAGCAGGATCCTGGGTAAACACAATATCAAAGTAATTTCCAAACCTCAAAATAAGATTGCGCAACTACTTCCTAATCCCAAGGACCGGAGACCACACTTAGAAACACCAGGTGTATACAGGATTCCTTGCTCCTGCGGAAAAGTGTACATAGGAGAAACTGAGAGAAAGATCAGTACACGAATTAAGGAACACCAACGGAGTGCCAGGTACTGCCATTTTAGTCAATCAGCCTTGGCAGAACATTGGATGGAGACGAGACACTCGGTACAATACGACAAAGCAACCAGACTAGCCCCCTCGCAAAGCTATTTTGCTAGAAAACATCGTGAAGCCCTAGAAATTCTGAAACATCCCGACAACCTCAACCGCGACAAAGGTTATCAAACAAACCCTATTTGGCACACTGCCCTTAATATACACTCACACCACTAGGCGGTGTCATTACGGAATACTTTTCTGTAGATGAAAAACCTCCCATAATATACACAACCCAAGAAAGCTCAATATCGGAGCTCTCAGCCCTGAAGATGCAAACTGCAACGTTTGCGAAACGTCGGCATTACGCTGTTAAACCACGCGGCATCCATCCGGAAACCTTTTGCATTGATAATTCCAATGGCCGCGAAAGTCTCAAAACTAGAATCAAAATAGCAATAACTTCTCAACAATGTGAGAATGACAGAAATGCTACGCCAATTATATCGGATGTAAGAAATTGTCTTTAAGGTTTTATTTTCTGTACATAAAGAACTCTATCTATATATAATCTTGTTGTAATAGGAATCGCAAGATTCTGTAATGGACGATAAATTAGGCGATTTTAATCATACAAATAATAATATAAATAATACTAATAATGAAGAAAAAGAACCTAGAGCGTTTACATCAACTTATATTCGACAAAAAAAAAGAAAAATCAAGCATCTTATTGATTGTATTGTAATAATTTTACTACATTCTGCATTATTTTTAAGAAGTACAATGTTTCTAGATATATAGTACAAAAAAATCTCAAGTACATATTATTAATATTTTAAACGCTCTTCTATAATGTTTCTTCTAAATTTTAATATTTTTAAGATAATTATTTCTTTATTTCAGATCAGTTTAAAACTTATCTTGTAAGATGGATGATACGGATTGAAAATAATCAAAGAGAAATAAAATCCGTTTTAAATACATTAAAATCAGGCAATGATAAAATAGTTCCTTCTAGTAGCGATTCTATTCTCAAAACATTAAACATACCAGCAACGTCAGTCGAAACTCTGTTAAACGTAAACAAAATGCTACAAGAAGAGAAACATTTTAAAGCTCTAGTTAAGTTAATCGCATTTTTAATCTGAAGTACTTCATTATTCATTAAAAGTTTTAAAGAAATTGGTGTATTTTTTGTATTAT